ACTTTTTGACGCTCTTTCAAACAAAAAAAATCTGACTTTATACAGTACTGTGGTTGAGTTTTCTTGCAAATACGTTATCAAACTTACATTCTGAGAAAAATGCGAAACAAGGTTTTGAAATCCTAGGTATCCAGAAAAATGTTGTATTTTGTGAATATCTCTGCACAAACAAATGAGAATGCCTTTCTTTTTTTTTCAGAACACCCACCGTGAAAAGCTTTACAAAACCTGTAGGAATAAATCTCTCTTGACTTGTTCTGAGAGTCTCTTCCATACTCAACATTTATCTAAAATTTCGTTTTTTCTTGACGAAATTTGACATTGTTGAGAGGGTGGCCTTAACGAAAATCATCGAAAATTTTGGCCAAAAACAAGATGTCGAAGAAAAAGCAATGTCGTTTCTGAAAGAGCAGAAGACGAACTATCTCTCCATGCATTTATCTCAATTTCGAATTTTAGACAATAATTGACATTTTTTGAGGGGGGGGGGGNNNAATATCACAATGTATCTTAGATTCTTCTGTTTGTGTGATTTGGTGTGTTCATAGGTTAATATGGGTGGGGGGGGGGTGGGGGGGGGGGGCGGTGTACTTAAACTATAATTTGTTATTATAGAATGATTGTTGGTATAGAACAAATCCAATGGCTGATATAGGTCCTTTTCCTCGTTCATGGTGGGGTCCAAACGGTCATTTTGAAATTAAACCATGGTTTCCATTACCAACAAATCTTATCAAAAAGGGCCAAGAATGGATACCAGAATTTAAAAAGTGTGCAATGTTATGTATTTCTGTTGTCATTATGGTTCAGATAGTTTGCCAGAGAAATAGATTATTCGCTGGCAACATAAACAGTTTATCAAATGGACCAAGCTAGAAGGAAGAGCAATTTATAAATTGTTACAAAAATTGATAGATATCATATTAAAGTAGATTGTCTTTGGTTATGCGGTTTCGTTTGATGGACATCGATCTTTAGAAAGACAAAAACCAGAGATTTTCAAGATTTAATGTTTCCGCTTTACGCCATTCTAAGCAGGTCTTTGTTAAACATAATCATCAAACGAATGATAATTGCATAGCGTCCATAGGGTGTGGGTGTGGGTGTTGGTGTGGGTGTGCTGGTGGGTGTGGGTGCTCGTGTCGTCATTGACTATGCCTCACGCTCGCCC